ACCTGGTCTGATAGAACAATAATTCATGGCAGCTGTGTCTCAAATAACCTATTTTCACTTATGGATTGTTCAGTTTATGATCAAATTTTTCAATTTCATGAAGCTACAGGTGATAAGAATGAATTATTGCAAGTCCAAATTCAAAATAGGTGGAATAAGGCCTTGAAAAGTAAATTTTTAAATGTAAAACAATGGAAAGATCCCAAGTTGGCAGAAAGTTTAGGTTTATTGGTGTTAAGTAAGAGACTTAATGCCCACTTAGGCAAGCCTGCTTCTGCTATTGAAAAAAAAAGTTATTGGACTTTCCAGACAATGGGGCAGTAGGAAGTCTACAAAAACCTCTATCTACTCAGTTTGATTTCAGTGGATTCCAGGATCAGGACGATGAGCCTTGTTCTAATCATAGTACAGTAGAAGTCCAAAAATCCGGACTGCTTGGGGATTGGGTCGGTCCGGATTTTCGGATTTACCAGATTCTCCGGCAGTACTTTTAAAATTCAAATTTAAGGAGGAATAAAGAAGAGATGGACAGGTTCAATTTCATAGTTTATTCATTAGCAAATATAGTGTAGTGGATTCCTCTCCTACAAACGGCGTGTGCCGTTGACTAGCCGACCCCCCACGAATCTGCCAGCGTATCCCTCGTGGTCAAGGTCAGGTAACCAGCGACGCCGAACAAAGCGGGGGCCTACCATCAAGCCACGCCTACCCCCGCTATATAAGACCCCACCTGGCCGTCATCGCTCTCTTTCTACTTACCGCCACCAGCAAGCAACATCTCTCAACAGCTCCACACCACACGCTCCCTCAGAAAGCTCCTCGCCCTACAGGAACTCTGAGCAAGCTTCGCCCGACCTAGTATCTCTTTAACACTGTGCAACAATATATATATAACGGAAAACACATTGTGACTTTCTATTCTACCTCAATCCTGAGTGTTGGATATATTACATGTACGTACGTTGTGAGGCCAAATAAGAGGCCCTGACAAACTGCCACAACAGTACGCTACAACAGTACGCTACAATGCTTCATTTATCAAAATGAACAGTTTTAAAGAAAAAGCTGTGAATTCTAGAATTTTATTCTTTGCCTTTTTTATATCATAAATTGTAGACTTTCCAATGTCGTATGTTTCCATTAGAACAGTATTGCTCACACCACGTTCTAGTTTCTTAATTATTTCAAGTTTGTCACTCAATTTCAACGTGTTCTTCTTTCTCTTCACACAACTAAGTTTATCTACTTTAGGAGCCATTATTATGGGCTTGTACAGTACTCTGTAAATGGAAAGAGTAGGACTCAAAATTACAGACGTTGTCACAGTTTGATTGCTCGTTTTAAAGTGGCGACCGTGTGGTCGCTTGTTGTCGCTGTGCAGCTGTGGCACTCACGCATGTGCACATACACACAAAAGCCAGCTAAATTAAAAAAAAAAAAAATTGAGTTTTCGAAAAGTCCCGGATTCTCGGGTGGTCCGGATTTCTGGCATCCGGATTTTTGGACTTTTACTGTATTCAGTTTTTGTGATATGACCCAGAATGTGACACTGATAACCCACCCATTTCCACCCCTAGAGAGTTGTCTTTTATTTACTGCTCGCTCTAAGGCAAGAGATGAAGGTGGCAGTGCGTGCGATGGGGGGGGGGTTTCGACAATTGCAATTAAATGCCAGGTAGCGACGTGTCCTCCAAATATTACTTATTAAGTAATTATTAGATGTTTTAATTGCCTGTATGTTGGCCTGGCGAGTTATTGCTAGGCATTAACATACCTAGGTTAAAGCTAAGCGTTGCATTCTTGGTCATATCACAAAAACTGGTTTTTAGAAAAAAACGGCTTTTCTTCCATTAATGGAGGAAGATTTTCCTCCATTATCGCATGCCTCACCTCCAACACTACGTGTCTCCTTCATAAATCATCACGCGCATACATTCCCGTACCCGTCACGCAGCCAATCAAAAGCGTTTTTGCTTTTGGAACCAATTAAAATGATTTTGGGTTTAATTCGCAGTATATTTGGACCAATCAAATTCGAGTTTCATTTTGGGTCTCATATTTTGAAATTCAAGTTCAGTTCCGCCCATGGAAGTCTGTGATGGGTGTCACTTAAAGTATATGGAGCTGATTGCGAGTTTTTGGAAAAAAACGTAGAAACTATAGCATTTTTTCGATCGCATGGTGTTCTTCCAACCTCAGTAAAATGTACTAGGAGCAAGACAATGTAAATATCGCAAAGACCAACATATGTGGCGTTGTGTAAGAATCCCAGAATGCAACGACGAACAAGAACCAGGCCAATAAGGTAAGAAATAAGTGATTCCATCATATGGTGAGAGTCAGTTAGGTTAGGTTTGGTTTTTGTTTTTCTAGTATTTTTTGGTGTATTTTGCCATGATTTTTTTCGGAAAACGTTCAACGAAAAAAATTCGAAAAAAACGGCTAATTTCCGCCAGAAATAAAGGTCATATTCGGCCTAAACACTAGAACTAGACACTAGAACAAATACACTAGAAAAATATATTTTTTATTTTCTAACAGAGAACGGTGTGACAATGCAAATTTACCTATTTTTTAATTGTTTCTGAATTTAAAAAAAAAATTCTACCCACCAGTGGTGGTAAAGTTGAAAACATAAGGACAGCCAATGTTGTTGTGTGTGTTTTTACTCAGATGGCGAAGTTGCCAAGTCATCAGGTTCAACTCTAGCTAAAGCTGTAGAACATAAAAAAAATTTCTGTTGTTTTTAGTTTTTATTTAACTTTATCTGTGTTATTTTTGTTGGTTTGTTAATATTTTGCTTTATTACAGGGAGTAATTTGCCCCAAAAGTACTGTAAATAAGGCAAAATTTAGCCAAACATCGAAAGTACCAGACTTAATTAAATTTTTTCCATAGGAAGTTGTATTTGGACGAATTAAATTTCGCGAGGATTTTACAGTCTAAATAGGCGTCCAAATATGAGAGCCTACTGTACTTCTTTTTTGTTTAAAATGGTGGTCTTTTGGGAAAAATTTGCTCTAAGGTGGACAACCTCTTATCCCAGACATCCCCCCCCCCCCCAATTAATTCACATTGGCAAGGTTTTACTGTATTATCAACTCTGTATTTGTATTTTTCTGGCTAAATAAACTGTTTCAATATCAATGCTGATTTAATTGGGATCCTCTTCAGAGCCTCTACGACAAAAATTTTAACACTTTTTTTAACAGTTCAATAAAGATTACCATAACACACAAATCATCTGACATAATACAGAAATATTACAGGTGATTTTTGCACACTGACTATCAACTGGAACACCTAACTATTACAACCCATTTCTTCCAGCCAAGGACTTCTTGTTACCATCATCTCTTCAGAAAGTAAATTACTGCAGTCATGCCATTAAAATGCCTAATCTTCCAGAATACACAATACAGTAACTAGCTATTGTGCATTTTTCCCAGTTGAGAAAAGATGCCCCTCCCTCTCCTCAAGAGTTGCAGCTGATTGGCTGTTGCAAATCTGTTCGATTTCATCCTGAAGTAATGATGTATTTCTAAATGAGTTTATTCATAATCGTTGGGATGACCGTTTCTGACGAAAAAGATATTTAGCTAAATTATATAGATACTGTACATACATTTATTATTTCAAACATGAGCACGTAAGAAGTTTAACAGAAATATTATACTACATGAATTAACTGTTAAACTTTGATAACAAATTCACGCTTTTGGAGGAAGCATTTAATATATACATCTGTACAGTGAGTTCTGCTATAACGCGTGTTTTGACAATGCGAATTGGCTCTAACGCGATTTATGAATAGAGGAACGATATCTGTATAACGCGAACGCTTGTTTGCTGTAATGCGATTTTTGCTCACTATTTCTCCAATTTTGTGGTATTAACTGTGAATATGGTAAAGAAGAGTATCTCCAAGAAGCGTTCTGGTGATCGCATTCCCGGTGATGATCGTAAAAGAAAGGCTATAACCCTTGAAGTGAAGCTCGATGATATCAACCTCAAAATCACCCTTCTCCCCCATCAAGTTATATTCATATTTTTTCAAGGTAAAGTGTTACATTTACTGTATGATTTCATTATTAGATATGAATGTAACATTTATTTAGACTGTGCTATCCTTTGTGTTAGGCTAACTACTAAATTTTTTTCGATTTCGAGTAGTAATCTGCACCTAACCCTATTTTCTCCATAAGCCCTGTTATTTCTATTACGCGAATTTCTATAACACGATGTTTTACAAGAACACAACTATTGCGTTATAGCAGAACTGACTGTACTTATTTTTAACCATCAATAAGTTATACTAAAACAAATTACATACCAGTAAAACTACAATATGCAAAATCTAACATTTGTAAAAGTTCAGAATCACTGAAATATGAAGTTGTTCACAGTTATATTTCACGCCTCGACTCACGGCTATTCGCTCGAGTGGCCAAGTCTGTCTCACTCGTCCACCAATTTTCAGAGGCATTGTAATATTTCAGTGTGATTCAAAAACAAAATACTAATTTATGGTGCAAAAATTCTCCTTATAACAAAAAGGATGAATTTCTCCCAATTTAAAGATACAGTACCCGGTAATCTGTTATCTTTGCAGCTCTTAAAAACAAACCAGAATTTTTAACCAAATTTGGTGAAATAAAAAAGTGGGTTGGGGAGGGAAGGGCATTGTCTACAAAGGTTATAATCACATAGTCCTGGCAGTGTGTGTGAGGCACGAATGGTGTGACTCCACGGGACCGTGACTGAGTGGTGGGAGTCGAGCGCTCGGGGTGATTAGAAGCTACGCTCTCTGTAAGGACATCTCGTTATTAAAGGCAAGATAACTCTCCACACTATTATCGGACCTCCTACATGTCAATCTATCACTGTGAATCAATTTGCCTAATATTATCACAAACAAGACATTGTCACGTACTGTACTTCCTTTCTTAACAACTATAACACTTTTTGGAAGCTTTATTCTTTAAGTACATATAATGAATCCCTTACAAAAAAAAAAACAAAAAAAAAAAACATAGAATTGATATCAGTTACAAATGACAATGAGTATGTTTGTCCCTTGCTGATTGATAATGATGTTTGATCTGAAAAGTAAGAGTACAAGATTTTCAGTTAACTTTATCACTGTCACTGACACTATACACAAATATTGCGCTGCATTCATTAGATACAGTGAAACCTCCATACAACAAACTTCATTCTCTATATAATCCATTAAAAGGGGGTTTCACATTTAACAGACCCTTGATATAACAGACTTTCATCTCTATATAGTTTGTTTAACGAAAGTTTCATATCTAACTGACCCTCGATATTACCCCCTCCATATGGTCCGTTAAATAGAGGTTTTACTGTACATGCTGTTTGTCTCATTAACACTTCACCAAAAACCTTTAGGGAAGAATAATCAACAAAATATTATAATAGTTTCCATCTCCACCGTACTGTACACACAAGGATACACATACGAACAGATCAACTTAACAGTCCAATCACGGCATTGAGTACAGTTATTGAGGCATAGTTTTGACCAAATACTGTAGGTAATATAAATATTTATGATTTATTCAAGTTATTTAAATTATGAAGTAAATGTGGTAAAATCCTTTTATTTACCACTCAGTGTCAAATTAACTTCCATCTTGTGTTGCGGAGTTGCGACACATAATGGACACCCTTCTCTCCCGTGGGACTTGTTGGCTGCCAAAATACGACTCTTTTGCTCCGAGAACCTCGTGGGTGTACTTGTAGCGGGATTCATCCCTTACGGAAAGGAGAGACAATATCTATGTTAATCTTGAGAATAAATTAGTGGACAATTTGGTGTATAATTACAAACTAAAGATAGGAAAATGTGATAAACTCACATGGAAAGTGTTATAATTGTTAATGTGAGGCATATAAGTGAAACATTCTATACACATGTATCTTTTTAATATATATATATATATATATATATATATATATATATATATATATATATATATATATATATATATATATATATATATATATATATATATATATATATATATATATATATATATATATATATATATATATATATAATAAATCACTTGATCTAGGTATATGCTGATAGTTATATTACATTTATATATATATATATATATATATATATATATATATATATATATATATATATATATATATATATATATATATATATATATACTATCTGAACTTTTATAAATGTCAGTGTTACATATTGGCATTACCATAACATAACATACACATAAATTGACGTTTTACAAAAGTAATGTCAGACAGTACACACTAAAGGCTTATTAAGGACTAAATTATATGGTGAATTGTAAGATGATGATGACACCTTTAAAGATTATTTATAGTCTCAGATTCCCTCAGGGAGTTGTGACTCTGCTTGACCAATTGTTCCCACCCTGTGCCCATTCCCTGGTCTATGCTGCATTTTCTGGGGTGGCACACTGCCTGAACAGAGGGTACCTGGTGAGCATTTCATAGGCTAGCACTGATAGTTCAGGGGTAGTGCGCTGTGAGGCTGCCCCATCATAATACTGCAGTCAGCTTTAGTGCCATGTGACACATCGATGGGTAACCCTGAAGCTGGGTCAGTAACAACTCAGTCTGTCTACTTCCTATTAGGATTAGGTTAGGTCAGGTCATCATTAACTGACAACAGACATTGTGAGAATATAGCTACTCCTCGAAATACGACCCCCCGACTTACGACCACCCCAGTTGTACCAAAATTTTTTCAAATGACGTATTTTCGAGTCCTGACGTTAGTGATTGCGCTGTGTACTGACAAAATTTTCGTCTGTAATTCCCTTTAAAATGGCTGGCAAGTGTAAAAGAGCGAGTTTTGTGGTGCTGAGAAGAAAAAGAGACACCCATTTTAGATTTTCTATGTATTATCTTCGCATTTTCGACTTACGACCTGGATTTGGGTCCCTAACCCTGTCGTAAGTCGAGGAGTGGCTGTATATAATGTTTTCAGAGTAGACAAAGTGGGCATTAACCGGTGGGTCGCCACTGGACTGCTCTTGCTGTGTCATCAGGAACACAAGCATACAGACTATTTACATTTTTGGATTGGTCTTACTTTAATCAGTCTAAAAGTGCTAAGGTTTACTTTTCACCATAATGGTTTTGTGCATAGAGATTAGCTGACATAAGTGTCCTAAGTTTTGTAAAAAAAATCACCACCTACTCACTTCATTACATACAGCGATCTTCTCCGCAGGTTGATGTCTATAACTTGGTCATGGTGTTCTACATGCACGAGCCTCATCACAGCATCACTCAGCAAACATAAGCCACATATAATATTGCCACAAAACTGAAAAGAAAATTTTCATATTTTAAGACTGCCCAGTGTTGCTGCTAGTCTAAGTCGTATATATTTAACATCATCGTACCTCAACCCTAATCCTTTTTACAATAATGAAATGATAAAACTTTTAATTATTTACAGAAATGGAAGAAACTTGCTTAACTTTTAGAAGGCTCATTTAAAAAAAAAGAATTACTGCATGAATTATTCACTTCCAACGTTATAATGCCGGGATGTCAGAATCAAAAGCACAAACACAATTTCCTTCCAATTAATGTGATTTACTCTTACTGCTTCATGACTTGTTTCCCTTTCAGGGTGGAGTCTATATCATAGAACTGCTATCTGCCTCATCCATATACAGTGGTCCCTCGGTTAACGAACGGTTCGATTAACGAAATTTCGGTTAACGAATTAGCTCCCATAAGGATTTTCAGTTCGATTAACGAAATCCCTTACAACAAACACGTTTTGTTGTGTGCAGCAGCTGATCAGCTAGTCCGCCAATACAGTACAGTCAGTCCCTGACTTACGACAGGGTTAGGGACCGACGACCAGGTCATAAGTCAAAAAAGGGAAAATAATACAGTGGTCCCTCGATTAACAAACACTATTGGTTCCAACTCACAGAAAAAGTACATACAAAGTAAAGCCAAAAAATGCATGAAGTCCGAAATACTCCTAAAAATCCTCGAAATCTCCCTTAAATCACTAATTGGTTCTAGAACCTCGTTCGTTATAGCATTCGTTGGTTATAGGATTAATCCGTCCCAGGCCCCCAAATACAATCACTTAACACTGAAAATTTTCTGTGAAAAATGTAAAAAATACGGTACTTTATCTTACCTTAATGTTGTTCAGCATGCAGGTACCCCTAAACACTATCACTTCCACTGGGAGTCTTGGTTTTAAGGTCCTCAAACAATTGTTTGGCCTTCTCACAAATTATAGCTTCACTAATGCTATCACCTGTCATTTCTTTCTCCTTTATCCACACTAAGAGTAAATTTTCCATCTCTTCAATCACATTGCACCTTGCTTTGCTAAGTCTAGAGATTCCCTTAGCCACTTGCACAGTTTTAACTCCTCTTTATTCTTCAAAATCGTACATATAGTCGATTTAGCCATCCCATACTCATCACTAAGTTTTGCAATGCTTGTTCCATTTTCACGTTTCTTTATGATTTCTTTCTTAGTTTCAAGGGTTATTAGCTTTCTCACTCGCTTTGGATGATTCACTGTTACAATTGTACACTTGTATAACAAAATAGTTATACAATTAACAAGAATTTCCACATCAAAAGACGAAATTTCAACAATAACAGCGGTGCACTGGCTACACAATGAGAGAAAGATGGCGCCTGACGCTCTTGTTGTGAACTGCGGTACAACAATATTCATGCGCCAGACGAAATATTCCCGTATTCATCCGCGTTCGTTGTAGGAGTTGCGTTCGTTATAGCATTCTTAATTTTATAGGTGAAACCATTCGTTATAGGAATATTCGTAGTAGGATCCGTTCGCTATAGCGTTTTATCATATACGCGGTGCCTTGCCAAAGCTGAACTTTCACTTAACGCGGGTTTTTCCACAGCTACGCGGTGAGTGTCCGGCTCGGATGCTATTTTTAGATTTTGACCACGCGCCACGCGCCACCCACCCGCCCTCCTGCCTGCCTGCCTCTCCCTCCTCCTCCCTCCGCTTGGGTAAGCGGCGCGGTAAGGTTGCGCAGTGTGTGTCTTTGTTGCGTTATCAC